TAAAGACGGCCGGCGTCCGGTAAATATATCAAGGCGCAAACGCCTCGAAAAGTTGCGGAGGAATGCAGGAACGAAGAAGCAGCCACCGGCCATGGCGCTGCCTGTGAAAATGCTGATACTTGTACTTGATAGCTGTAACAACCCGGAAAAATTAGAATATTATTATATTGAAGTTGGAGGCTTTAATTGTGAAAATTCGTAAATTATGGGGACTAAATTGAAAGATTTTAAAATTTAGATCTTATTTTAGAGTTTAAGAAAATTCAGAGACCAATCTCTGAATTTACCCAATAAATTAGGTAAGGATGGTATTATATGTTGTATCCCAAATCCCCTCCCGAACGCCTAACTTCAAACCTCGATTCCGACGCCGTCCGAATTCCGATCGTCGTTTTGAAAGCACCATCGTGTTCGTTATCGAGTCAGGAATAATCCCCTAATTTAATTGAAGCGAAACGCTATCAAACGTCGTGAATTTCAAGTCAAAGTCTCGACATTTTCGTTAGCTCTATCGCCGGGAAAATCTTAAATTCACCACCGATCGTTGCTCCGTTTACGACACCTCCTCGACCATCGTGTTCCTTGTTCCGTTTCGAGTCCGTCGGTGTCAACCTTGTTCGCCGTCGACGGCGGCGCGTTGGGAGGTGGAGCAGTCAAAGATTCGACCGAGTTGAAATCGAGCTCTCTGCCGTTCAAAAATTTGAACCGAGCTTTGTAAGTATCTCAAAAACGCTCAAAATAATTTTTAGAAATTTTTCCGTAATTTTTAGAGCCCCGGAGGATACCTCACGCGCCACACGCGCCGCCGTAGGGCGAGTGAGTGACCGGTTCAACCGGTTTTCTTAAGGATTTGACTGGTTTGACCGGTCACGACCCGACCCGTTGACCCGACCGGACCGGACCGGTGTTATTTTGGTAAATAATTCAGTTTTGGTGCTATTCTGGTAAATAATTCGGTTTTTGGTGCTAATATGGTAAATAATTCGGTTTTGTGCTATTTTGGTAATTAATTCGAAATGGGTGCTATTTTGGTAATTATTTTAAAAAGGGTGCTATTTGTGTAAAATATTCAACAATTTGTTGATCTCCTTTGACCAGAACTTTGACTGGCTTTGACCGGCTATTAAACGATCGCTAATCTTTTCCGAGTATACCTATCCTGATAGTTTTCGACGTGCCGAATCTGTTTCTGTGGTCCGTTTTGTCAAATTCGAACCCAAAGGCCTCCAAATTGACGGTCAAAGTCGTTGACTTTGACTTTGACCAAGAATTTGAATTTTCGAAAAGTCATACTTTATGTTTTTCGACGTCCTGATTCCGATTCCGCAGTCCGTTTGGCCAAATTCAGACTAAAAACCCTCCAAATAGAAAGTCAAACCCTGAAAATGCTTATATACTTAAGAATTTTAGTTTTGAACAATTAAGTAAGATTTGAGGCTGATAAATTATTATTATTTGAAGGTATAAGAGACTCTCCGGATCGTTCGACGGCTCGACCCAACTCTTCTAGACCAGTTAAACCACGTGTACCAGTATTCACCCGTTCGAAAACTGTAGCAGAGCGTGGTGAAACCAGCAATCAGTAGATCTACTATCTGAACCTATTATCGAGGTGTGTTCCCTACTTATTACTGAACGGTTTTATTGGTTTTAATATGTGGTACACCGAATTCATTTGTTATTGTTTTATGGATGCACCAATTTAATGTGACAATTTATGGAATATGACTGCTATCTAATTTTTGTTTTGAAATGGTATATGATTACCATGTTTTTGGATTTATGGAATTTATGTCACGGTGCAATTGAATTTTGGAATTGAATTACGATGGAATAGCTCTGATCAAGCTAAATGGGCCTAATGTGACTCTTGAGGGCCCCAAGATGTTTCATTAGGTCGGCTTTCCTTTGCTGTGTGCTTAGGATAAACTATATGGACTTATTGACTTGGGCTTAAGGATACAAGCTTCATAGTCTATCCTTAAGTCAGTTTTCTTTTTGCTATGTGCATAAAGTAAGCTATATGGAAAATAATTTTGGGATCTACTGATGGTGTACCATAAAAGGGTTTAAACTATGATTTTCAAAAGTTTAACTCTTTTACAAATTTGTGAGATTTACTGGACTATGATTTGTACCTATTGTGATTTTATGGAAATGTTGGGACACACTGAGCCTAGCTCACCTTTCGAAAATGTTTTCCCCCTTTCAGATACTGTTGGTTAGATACCTCGGTTCGAGCACTTGGAGGATCAACATATCTCTTGAAGTAAATCATATTGTAATGTTTTCATCTTGCAAGTTGACTTTATTTTGGTGACATGGACCTTATTTTAAAATATCAGATTTTAAAATGATGACTCTTTTGCTATTACTGTTCGGTTTATTGTGATTTTGAATTTGAAGACATGTTTTAAATTAATTTATTACTTATTGGTACTATATTTACGAGTTGGATTTTGATAGTATAATTTGTTATAATTTCATGTTATTTATAATGTGATCTTATAATGATGGAATAACGGTTTCGGAAAATGTCTTTAATAATCATAATGTGATCCACTAGACTTAATCGAAACGCACAGGCCAGGTCTAGGGGGTTACAATAGCTGTTATGTTGATTTGAGCTTGCATGGAGCCTATAACTGTGGGGAGTGATGCTGCAGGTTTTGGTTATTTTGTAAATCTTTTAGAACACGGACGGACGTGAGATTTTATGTTACGGTTGTAATTTTCTTCTATATTTACTGTATTTATCTTGATTTAGTAGAATTGTAACGGATGGTTTGTGCTAGTATATTGTTTCATGTTATGTGAATTTAATAATTTTTTCTTTTATTGATTTTCAGTATAATAAAAAATTAAAATAGATCAAATTCATTGTCGACCCTTTTATTATATTCAAATTTGAAATTTTGGTCTATATACTTCAATTTGGTGTAATTCAGTGACTAATGTCATTTGTTTGTTTAAATAGTTAACAATAATTTTAATTAAAATATTGTTGTGATCTTTTCTTTAAAATATTTGAATTTAGCTAATTATCATTTAGTTTATTGGGAAGAGTTGTTAATTTTATTAAGATAATAATTTCACTTTTGATGTTACAAATAGAAAAATTAAATTAAGAATATTATATCATAGTATATTTTTGTAATATTCGATTTAAATTAGTTGAATAATTGATGATATGTATGTGGTTTTATAAATTTAATATTCTATTTCAACTAACCCTCAGTTCGTCTATCGTGATTAGACATTATGTCTCTTAAGTAAGGACGGTGGTTTAAATCGTTATGTTATGAATAAATAAAACAGGGTTGGGAGGATCGTTTTCATAAATAAACCTTTTTAGTATCTAAATTAGTTGATAAATCAATTAAATACCAATCATTATATAAAATATATTATAATTCATTATGATGACATATTTTTTGTGTTAAAATGAGTGTTTAATAAAATTTCACACCATTATTTTAATATAGATAAATAGCGTATAAATTCATCAAATGGTCTCAGTGATTAAAGGAGATGCTGTTCTCCCTACACGAATAGAGTGATCTTAGGGGTAAAGGAGTGGTTGTTATTCCTTGGTTATTATTCCTTGAGGTCCCAATAATTATTATTTTTTAAATAAATAATACCTTATAATAACCTTATACTATTAAAAAAATATTGTGTACATGGACATGTGCATAATTTTATGTTAGTGGACGAACTCGAACTTTTAAAATTTCAGGGGGTGAACTTGAACTTATAAAATTTTAGGGGCGAAAACATATTTTCAATAAAAAGTTCATAAAAAACCTAAAATATGTAATAATTTTAAATTTTCAGGGGTGACTATCCTCCTCGGTCCATCCCTGATTGTTTACATTTTGAGCTAACTAATGGTAATATAAACATAAAAGATTAAATTGTATCAATTTAAAGAAAAAGGGGTAAAATACCATATTTGAACATGGAAGAGGGACACAAAACACAATTTGACCTTCAAAATAAAACAAGTGACCGGTAATTAACGGTCGACCATGAGCGAAGAAGAAACATCAAAGCACGTTCGAGCGGGGAGCAAAACATCAAAACAAAACAATAAATTAATGGATAATATTTAAAACTAGAGATAATTTCAGATTAATTACCTTAAAAGTTAAAATCTTAGTATTTATCAATATGATTATCTGATTTGTTCATACAATGATGCCCATACAGCAATCTATTCAATGTGAACAGCATATCTTCAATGGCAGCCGGCAACGCTGAGCTGAGTTATTCCATTTGAGAAAATCAAATTACATTAATTATAATTTAATTCCAGCGCATAGTTTTGGAAAGAAATGTGGCAAATTGTTTGGCTGATTGGAAACGGCTGGGAATTGATTTGCATGTTTTAGACGAATTTCCATCCTCTTTTCTTCACTTTCTCGCATCGATCCCATGTAACTTTGGAAACTTCTTTTGTTTCTGATGCTAATTTCCCAGTAATTTGATCAAAATCTGTGTTTTTTGATATACCCTTTCGTTAATTTTACGTTATCAATCGATTTCTCTGTTTGGTTTTTATCGAATTTTGATTCAACATTGTTTTTTGTTGATACCCTTTTGTTTTCTTCAAGTTTTGATCCAGATTTTCGAAGCAGACAGTCAAAATTTGATCAAAATCTGCATTTTTTATACACCCTTTTGTTAATTCCACGTCATCAGTCCATTTTCCTGTTGGGTTTTTTGTCGAATTTCGATTCAACATTGTTCTTTGTTGATACCCTTTTTGTTGTTTCCTTGAAATCTTGATCCAGATTCTGGAAGCAGACAGTCATAATTTGATCAAAGTTTACGACCAGCCTTATAATCCATAGAATTGTGATACTATGGATTGTTGTTGATTGGGTTTCAAAGGGTAGCCAATTGTTTTTCAAGCTTTCTTTCCCTTCTTCTGGGCATTGGCTTTTTCTTATTGATTTAGAAGGGAAAGAAAGCACAGGGATATTTGAGAAGTTACTCCAGCTAGTTTTATTATTCTAAAATCAAAATGAGATTAATCTCCGATGTGATGTCGAGGCGAGTCTTGCCTACATGTGGTACCCTGTGTGTCTTTTGCCCTTCGTTGCGTGCAAGGTTCCGGCAGCCTGTCAAGAGGTATAAGAGGTTGATTGCTGAAATATTTCCTCGCAACAAGGTTTGTACTTCTCAAGTTATGTAAATTTCCACATTTATAGGCATAAAACTAGGGGGTCGAAAACAGATTATCAATAGGGGGCGACCGCCCCTGCGAGCCTCAGTCCATCCCTGGTTAAGTTAGCTCATGCTTGTTTACGGTCAGGGCTTGGGAGCTCTTTATGATGCATGAGGAACTGAGGATTTGCAGCTTTAGCATTTGTTTGTATTTTTGTTTTAAAGTATATCCTTCCACTTTTTGAATCATATAAGTTGAACTATTTTTGTCATAGGAGGATGGACCAAATGATCGAAAGATCGAAAAACTATGTGAATATGTTTCGAAAAATCCTTTACGCATCCCAAAGGTATGATATATCTGCAAGCCTTTGGATATGGTTTTGAGTAACTATGTTGATTATGCTAGCATCCTATATAACTAGTTCTTGCAAATGTTATGACCAGATCACTGAATCGCTCGAGCAAAGGTGCTACAAGGAGTTGAGGAATGAGAATTTTCAATCGGTGAAAATTGTTGTGTGCATTTACAAGAAGTTGCTGCTTTCTTGTCAGGACCAAATGTGAGTTTCTTCTGCTGCATACTCTATGGCTTTGTATCTCGCTGTTCCGAATCATATCAAGTCCCTTGCATAATCATGTTAAACCTTTTACCAAAAGATAGAACACGAGCATATAGTAATTTCGGGGTCAATAACTCAATCGAACGTGCCGGAAGAATTTTTATTGTCTTTCAACTTTTTGTGTTTCCTTGAACTCACTTGATTTCTGGGTATCAACCATTTTTTATAGGACACTATTTGCTACTAGTTTACAGAGCATTATACAGACTTTGCTGGATCAAACACGGCAGTATGAAATGCAAACTCTAGGATGTCAGATTCTTTTCGACTTTGTAGTTAATCAGGTAGGTACTTTTAGCATTACTTGTATGCTTCAAGTGTCATGAAAAATGGATTTCCAGCTTATTAGGTTTATGGCAACTGGCTTCAAACTCATTTTTATCTTGCCGAATTCTGCAGAAGGATAGGACTTTCATGTCAAACTTAGAAGCCTTTATTCCAAAAGTTTGTCAGTTAGCTCAAGAAATCGGGGAAGGCGAAAGGGAGACGAATCTACGTTCAGCTGGGCTGCAAGCTCTTTCTTCATTGGTATTTTCATTCACACAGCTTCTTCTCTTCTTTCGACAAGCATGAATATATCGAGTTTTAGTAGGATCTCTTGGCAATAGATGATAAAAGTGATCCTTAAATCATATAACTCGACCAACAATCATATAACTAATACTATATACAGTAAATACAATGAAGGCAGACGAATTAAATTCGAAGGTTTGCTTAAGTACCGTAACGAAGTCGGCTTATTTACTTAGAATGAATGCCTTCAAGGTTCACTTTAATTCACCTTTCTCACAAGAACCAAGGCAACGGTTTTCCCTTTTCGCAATTATTCTTTCTTCCTTGCAGTTCACGTTTTTCTATGTCCAAATTGTATATATAAGTACTCTAATGCACGTTCGATCATTTATCTTCTGGTGTAGATTTGGTTAATGGGTGAACATTCCCACATTTCAGCAGAATTTGATAATGTAAGTTAACACCCGGAATAGTTTTCTTCATGCTTTACCACTTTTTCCCTTGGTTTGGTTATCGAAACCATGTATGCAGCTGTACTTCTTAAGAACCTCAGTTTCGGGATTTTTGCTTTGTACCATTTGCATTAAAAGAGTTCTCAATTATCAACCACAGATTGTTTCAGTTGTCTTGGAAAATTATGGTGTCCCAGTGAAAAGTTCGGAGAATCTTAACAGTGGCCAAAGTCGATGGGTGCAAGAAGTGCAAAGAACCGAGAGTCGTACCACTCCGTCGCAAAAAGTTCTCATAAATGTTCCTTCATGGCGTAGAATTATAAATGCTAAGGGGGAACTAAATGTCTCAGTGTAATCCCATGACTCAAGTTTTGGATTTAGTTTTGCATTTGGTTTAAACTATTACCTGACAATGAGTTTTTCCCCCCCTCACAGGGTAGACGCCCGGAATCCTTGCTTCTGGTCCAGGGTTTGCTTACATAACATGGCAAAACTAGCAAAGGAAGCTACAACAACACGACGTGTTCATGAGTCTATGTTTCATTACTTCGATAAGGAAAAGTTATGGTCCGCTGAAAATGGTCTTGCCTTGCCGGTGTTAAGGGAAATGCAGCTTTTAATAGATAGTTCTGGTACCGCTCTCTTTTTTTCTTCTCCCTTTCCTAAAAAATATATGACCTTTAGATGGTGAGAAAAGTGATACTATCTGTTTTCCCGCGTTTGCAGGACAGAATGCACACCTTCTGCTGTCCGTACTAGTTAAGCATCTCGATCACAAAAGTGTCCTCAAACAACCTGACGTGCAACTTCAAAATTTAGAGGTTATAACATCGCTTGCTAGAGATTTGAAAGTTGAGGCCTCTGTCGCAATACTCAGTGCAGTTAGTGACTTTATGAGGCATTTACGAAAGAGCATACATTGCTCGCTTGACGATGCAACTATGGGAACTGAAATCATAAATTGGAACAAGAGCTTCAAAGAAGCAGTGGATGATTGTCTAGTACAGTTATCGCATAAGGTAAGACCCTTTTGCCATCTAAGCTAATTACTTGGTTTTTATTCATGTTTTTGTTCTTGTGAACAGGTTGGTGATGCAGGTCCAATTCTTGATGCTATGGCTGTGATGTTGGAGAATATCCCAAATATTACAGTTATAGCAAGAACTACAATCTGTGTTATTTATCGCACGGCTCAGATCATAGCCTCGATTCCAAATCCATCCTACCTAAACAAGGTAATGATCATATTATTGATTCATCTTTGTTGATGGACATTTCTTAGTGTTCCTTTGTTCCCATAGGCATTCCCCGAGGCTTTGTTCCATCAATTACTCCCGGCTATGGTCCACCCTGACCATGAAATACAAATTGGAGCCCACCTCATCTTTTCTGTTGTTCTTGTGCCATCTTCGGTTTGCCCTCAACCATCCTCTGTTACTGGAGTAACAAATAAAGGCCCTGGTATTCCAAGAACGCTTTCGAGAACTGTCTCTGCCTTTTCTTCTTCAGCTGCCCTTTTCGAGAAGCTAAAGAAAGAGAAATCTTTCTCATGGGAGGATGCTTGTCTAGAGAATAAAGAAAATGCTGCTAGTGAGGAGCAACTAGAAAATTTTCAAAATGGGATTCTGAATAGATTAACGTCATCTTACAGTAGAGCATACACTACAATAAGTCCGCTGGTACCGTTGGCAACAGACGAAAATCCTCCGAGCAATTCAAAAACAGAATCTGTGAGTATTTCACAATTTCCTCTCTAAAATTTCTCATCAAATCCAAACCATAAGTATATGGATGTGATCTTCCAATGATCCTCCAAATAAAAGGAAAATCTTGAATAGAAATGAACATACACATGCCGGAGTCGTACACATACCGTGTCAGACATTCTTATCTGAGTTTGACTAACATAGTAAGGAAGTACAATCAACCCTATGATTTGTTTGATATTTGTCAAATTTGTGATCTTTTTCATGAGGTTATTTCTACTTGTCAAACCTCAGGAGGCCAATTCCTTACGGCTTAGTAGCACCCAGATTAGTCTCTTGCTTACATCAATTTGGGCACAGTCTATCTCTCCTCAAAATACACCACAGAACTATGAAGCAATCGCTCACACATACAGCCTTGTGTTGCTCTTCTCTCAAACCAAGGTAAATTGCTCAATTGATGCTACCAGCATGACACTCTTTTGGCACAAGTTAGAGGTTTCGTTATCGTGTAGGAACAAAAAATACAGAGGGTAAACTTTGTTTTATTGAAATAAGTATAGATGAACCTAAATCTTCAATGTTGCAAGTTATTTGATTGTAGCCTATGGGCAGATATTATTAAATCCATGTATCGTGTAGTTGATTGTCTATAAGTTGCTTACTGGCAAGAAAACTTCTGGTGGTTGTATATCCATAGCATCAAGCTGTCATTCATTCTCTTTCTGAGTTTAATTTTTGAATGTTCGTGTTTATGTAATGCAGAATTCTAGTAACGAGGCTCTCATTCGTAGTTTCCAGCTAGCTTTGTCACTGAGAAGCATCTCTCTCGACGAAGGAGGTGAACACCCTAAGTTGTAGTCTTTGGAATCCAATGATTTTTACAGTGTCTGCATTCTCTTGCCTGTCTCTTTCATGAACCCCTCTCAACAAACAAAAAGTAGGATTAGCCCTGTTTATATTTTTGATCCCGGGTTAGCTCCAATTTAGTAGATGTGGGATTTATTCGTTATATCCACTACGATATTCCCTCTCAACTGTAGGGACGAACATGTAGCATTAACTTTATGTGTATGCATAATGAGCTTATTGCCAATGGGATAACAGCTTGGGATAGTACCTGCTCTGATATCATATAAATTTTAGGACGTATCATGTAAATTTTGTTATCAAGGTGTCATATCTTTAAGTTGTGCTTCCATTAATGCTACAGGGTCACTTCCACCTTCACGTCATAGATCTCTTTTCACCTTGGCAACTTCAATGATCCTCTTCTCATCAAAAGCTTTTAATATTCGCCCTATCGTCGATTGTGCCAAGGTTGCACTTACAGAAAATAATGGTATCAAACTTCTCATTCATGAAACCGTACTTGTTTTTCCTTCCGGGATAAGGTTGAAGTTCCTATCCTTCCTATCTTTTATAATGTCTAATGGAATAAAGTAATGAATATCATGTTTTCAACTGGCTGTCCGAGTTTACTATAACTTGTTTTGATGTGCCATGGTTCTATGTTCCATAGGACGATCCATTTTTGCGCTTGGTGGATGATCGTAAGTTACGAGCAGTTAACACTGTGCCTGACCATCCAACAAATGTTTATGGATCTAAAGAAGATGGTGCTTTGGCTTTAAAAACTCTCTCAGAAATTCAGATAGCCCCAGAACAATGTAGGGAAACTCTTGCTTCCGAAATCGCAAAAACTTTTGGAAACTTGTCGGAGGTAAATCATTTTATCCCGAATTTTGAGAATCTTCGACCTTGATGCATCATCGAAGAACTAGTATCTTCTATTGTAATTACCTATATATGCTAATATTTGGTGACTATATGGCAGCCTGAATTGTCCACTATAAAGGAACATCTGTTGAATGAATTCTTGCCCGACGATGTGTGTCCACTAGGTGCCCCAATTTCCTATGGATGCTCCTCATGTAGTATATCAAACTGGTGCTGAAGACAATAAATCTATTGAGGTAGATATCCCTTGCATCACCTTCTGAATTTTATCGACCAAATTGCTTGGAACCATTTGGAACCATTTGAAGGCCGAACCAAGGATAGTTCGTTTTTTTCTGGAGAAATTCCAAGACTTGTGGATGTCAATCAACTCCTAGAATCAGTATGTTCACTATGACATTCGTTTTTACTGTCCGGAAACACAAATAAATCATATATTCGAAACATTGATAAGGCGAATTGATGATCGGCATCAATTATTTTGTCGAGATAGAACAGCATGATTATTTTCTTTATCTTGCACAGGTACTGAAGACAGCACACCAGTTCGGAAGAAGTCCCATCTCCAGTGGACCAGACTTGTCTTACAAGGAAATAGCCCGTCATTGCGAGGCACTCGTAACAGGAAAGCAACAAAAGATGTCTCCTCTAATGAGCACCCGGCTGAGACAAGAAAACTTGATTAGCTTATCTTTTCAACATCCATATAACATGACAAAACAGGTAAACCCCATCTGCTATATCAGCATGGATTTTCATACATGTCGTATGCACCGCGAACATACCTTGTGTTCCACGCAAGAAAAGCACATGCTTTGAGGCCCTAAGAACACAGATGGCTCAAAAAAGAATCTAACATTCGCAACCAAACTTAAAACGCAGGCGAGTCCGGTCCTTGAGCGAATCGACAGTACCAATCCACTCAAACAACCGCTCGGCACTCTTCCGATGCCGTGTGCAACTGAGTACCATAATCATCCACCCTCCTTCAGTTTACCAGCCTCAACTCCATATGATAACTTTCTAAAAGCTGCAGGATGTTGATCCTATAGTATAGAGTTAAATTTTCGAAGCAAAATGTTCCGGCGATTGTTCCATGAGGAAGAAAGAAAATTTTAGGACAGCATTGGCATTTTTGGTTCTTGGTATGTTTAGGGCAGCATTTGTGATTTAGATTGGTCGAGTTTGTGAGTATTTAGCAATTAATTCATTCATTTCCCCCCCCCCCATTTTCTTTTTTAATATGTGTAGTTTGCAAGAGATGCCTAGTGCTATGCACTCTTCATCTTGCTAGCAAATTGCTTTGTTCTTATAATTTAGCATTGGGATGGACGAGAATGAAGGATAGACACAGTTTTGGAACGTTTGAATCCATAATGTTACTGTATGGAAGAAATTTATCATCGAATTGTTCGATATTTGAGTGTTGATGGTGGTTGAACTCGTGATCGTGTATCATATAATTCATCTCTTTTGTTTTGGATAGAAAGTCGTTGTTTATTATTACTGGAGTTTGTAATCATTCGAACTACATAGCATGAGTGGATGACGGATAGTCAGAAATAGAATCTACCTATAAGCATAGGGATGAGTAAAACTCAAACTGATCTAAAATGATTTCTTTTACGATTTGATATGTAAAAAACGACTTGAATTGATTTGCCTCTTAATTTTATAAACTTGAAAAAACTTAAATTGAAGTCGAGTTATAAAATAAAACTCAAATAATTCAAATTTTTTAATAATCAGTGGATCAATTTTTAAGTTTGAGATGAATTCTTCAACTCTATGATATATCACATTGAAGGAATATAATTTATTGTATGTAGATATAAAAAACTGTTTGAATTGGACTTAAATAATATCATAATATTATAAATATTTACAATTAAATTTAAGCATAAAATCGAACAACTCTACTCGAGTTTTATAAACTCGAATCGAAATTTTTTAATTTTTTCACTTGAAAAGCTTAAAAAATTTTACTCGGCTCAATCGAACGCTCACACTTATATAAGTTAACTTTGGTTCATAATGCATGAATATAGAAATGACTGGAATAGCATGAGAAGGGGCCGGAGTCGGAGCCAGCGCCGCCGCCGCCACAAAACCTGAGGGCAAGGCGGCCGTGGATTGAGAGTTGGAGGAGGATAAGGGTGGTAGTATAATGGAGAAGTTTGTGGCAATGGAATGGAACCTGGCGATTGCCCTAACCCCTTCATCAAGCAACTCCATGAATTTCCTCATTGCAATATCTTAAGAACAATGGCGTTGGATTTCTGTTGAGTTGTGGGAAACTAGAGAACAGTGAGTGTCGGCTGGGACGTGGACAGTGGGACATTTTTTAAAAGTAAAAATATAAATAGAAAGAACCCTAGAGCTCTAGTTTGCTTTTTTGCTAAATAAACTAAAATCTAGGCTGGCCTTCATACTTGACGAGTAAGTAACTCAGCCCTGAATAGCTCTAGTGACGCCTATCCATTTCAGAAAGATGTCCAAAGTAAAAAGAGTAAAGTACACAAAGGTCCCCCAACTATAGCGTATTACTTTATTAAGTTTCTCGACTATTAAAAGTTATAAAATGGTCCTATGACTATAAGTGTTACTTTGTTGAGACCCTCGACTATTAAAATTTTTAAAAGTCACCCAACTATTCATTATTATCCAACTAGTCCTTTTATGTTAAAAAATTGACGGTATTCCAAGCTGAACATGTTTTTTTTCGCACAACGATGAAGAATTTTATTAAAAGAAGTTAGTTTAGTTGTTCAGCTATATACACCAAAGCCTAGTATTGGAATCGCCCAAACCAGTAAAAAACTGCACGCCTAACCAAATTACTACCACCATACGTTCACATTTCTTTTTTTTTCCATAATCTCAAAGATGATCATATCTCAGTCATCATGTTAACGTCCAGCTTAGACAACCGCCATTTTTTTAACGGAAAATATAAGTTTGGAATATAACGAATAGTCGAATGACCATTTTATACTTTTTAATAGTCGAGGGACTTAGCAAAGCAACATTCTATAGTCAAATGACCTTTTGTAACTTTTAATAGTCAATGGACTTAATAAAGCAAACATCTTATAGTGGGGGACCATTTGTGTACTTTACCCAAATAAAAATTAATATGTCAAGTGTAAAGCTACAATTACGAAATAATTCTCTCCATAAATATTTAAAACCACTGTATTTTTAAGATTTCAAACTATTATTTTAAACTGAAACAAGTTCATATCAATCAATCAAAAATAATTGATGATATAAATTATTGTGAATGCGAACTTTAACAAGTCAATACTATTTTGAATTTGGCTCAATTCTCAAACAAAACTTTGACCAAGCTTGAGCTGAGCTTATACTATAAGCACATATTGGCTGATATTAATACACATTTATATGCATGTATGAACCCGTGAATGTTTAGTAATGTCATATCCTTTAGGCGAATATGTCGATATAAACCATTTACAGCTTGCACTAATATCCAAAAGCAAATTAAGATATGAATTAGCTAGCTCCATGTTAATCTATGCTGCAACATTAAGGATTAACGAATCAATAACCTTTTTGTGCTGTTCTTTCATGTTCTTACCTATCGGTGGACCAAAAGTTTACCTGCATATATAGCTAGTGGAAATATTAGTTGGCCAATCTACAGATGCCACGTCATTCTAGCTACCGTCCTGGAAGCTGCTTCTCATGCAATCTGCAACAAACAACGTGTGCTATAAACTGGGTAAAATACACAAGAGGTCAATGAACTATATCTAAATAATTGTTTTGATCAATAAATTTCCAAAAGCTATAAAATGTCAACGGTCATTAAATTTATCAAACTATTATAAAAGTTAGAGTTAATTGCATCACATGTCTTCAAATTATGACTTTCATTCTAAATTGGCACCTAAACTTTTAAACATTTTAGTTTCATCCTTAAGCTATGATTTTTATTCTAAATTAGTCCTTAAACTTTTGAAAATTTCAATTCCATCTCAAACTATGACCTTCATTCTAAATTAGGCCCCAAAATTTTTGAACATTTCAATTTCATCCCAAAACTTTACGTATATACTAACCACATCCCTTTTAATAAAATTGTTAGGCCAAATTATATTATTATATTTTTAAAAAAATAAAATTTAGGTTAAACCATGATTGAAATTAATTACATATTTGGATAAATTTGGGGATGATATTGTAAGATTCACAAGTTTAGGGACCAATTCAAAAGGAGATTCATAGTTTGTTGATGGAACTGGAATGTTCACGAGTTTAAGAATTAATTTAGAATAAGAGTCCTAGTTTGAGGATGAAATCAAAATGAATATTCAAAAGTTTAAGGACCAATTTAAAACAATGATCATAATTTGAAAACATATGATGAAATTAACTCTAAAAGTTATTAGTATAAAAGTTTGATAGATTTAATGACTATTTACATAAGTTTAATGACATATATCAAACTATATTTAAATAATTATTTAATGACTATTACATAAACTCTTAAACCCCAAATTATACATATATCATTGGAATAAATAAATTTATACAAAATTAAACTTTATACAACTTATATATCAACACATTTTCAAATACAATTTAAAGCATATCAAAGATAATACATACCGTGTAAATATAAGGGTCTTTTTGCCCTCCCGTTCCTGATCTCTTCACTTCTTCCTGCTTCAGCAACCTGCAGACAAATCATTTTCTGTTAGTACCATCTTCCACCGTTAATTCGTCAAAAGTTTATGATCAACGACAAAGGTTCTGGCATGGGGATCCGGCGATCAAGTTTCCCAAATGTATTTCCAGCCGTTGATCATAAATAACTTCGTTACATTGATCTTCTGTGCACCCTACGAACTTACAGAAACAGACACTTGGATGATATAATATGGTGACACGTTGCAAAGAAGAGAACAGAAAGAGAGAGTGTACATTCGAAGGGCTTTGCTAGTGTCTGGACTGTCGCCAAGCACTCGACGGATGTTAACCTCAGAGAAGCAACCACCGGAAAGCAATTTCAAAATGGCTTCGGCTCGGCGCCGCATGTGATTCGAGCCGCTGCTGCGCCTCTTCCTTTGTATTTTCTCGGCTTTGTTCGTTTTACGTTGGCTTCGCGCGCTCGAGATGCCGCTGGATGAGCTGCTCGACAAGCACGACGTCGTCTCAGCCTTTTCCATATTCGATGAATGACCTGAAGGATATATTCCGGCCATCGGAGCTCCGGTCCTAGATCGCCTCTTTTTTATCACCTGCGCAAGTTTATTAACGAATTTAAACTCCAAATGTAGAAAATGGAAGTTGAAAATTTACGAAAGAAACTTGATTCGAACTTTGAAATTCAAAACCCAAGAGAGAGAGAACATAAATCAAAGGCACGTAATCAAATGTAAATTGATATTGAATACCGTTGCGATTCAAAGAACAACAAAAGGAATGATGTGCAGAAGAAGGGAAATTGGCGAAAACTTTGAAGAACTTGAACAGCTCGAGTTTTGAATCGGAACAAATTCGGAGAATTCGGCGATCCAACGACTCGGTTAATTTTGAATCATTAGCTCAGAGTGAATGATCGTACCAAAAAATTCCATGCTAAATCATTGCCTTATGAGACGTAAGAAATAGCAATCAGATTCTGAATATTAAATATATATTATCCAAACACAATTCCAAACAGAGTGTCGAAGCTCAAACAATTAAAAGAAAACAAAAACTGACGAAACTGACGAAAAACAAACAAAATGCAGCGAAAAGAGGAGGATCCGAGTAAGAACAACGAAACCTTGAGCTTGATCTCATGGCAGGGAGCCACACAGTGGTGATCCGTAACTTCTGTTGCTTCCGAGAGGATAACTGATGAAATGGAGATGAACTGCAGGATTCGGATTCAGTCGAAGAGATCAGTATGCCTGCTTTCCCTTTCGTCTCACCGTCACAACATTCGATCATCAACCTTTCAAAAAAACACACACATAAAAAGAACATCAAAATGAAATTTGAAAAACAATCGATCGAGAACTTGAATAAATTTCGTTTGAATTTACTTGGAGGGTTGAGATGAAAGGAGGAGGAGAGCTGAAGCCACCGTTCGTTCGAGAGGAGATGGAAATGTAGCCATTTTTTGAAAATTGGCGGGTCTGTCTTTAATGTTTAAACGCTTATTTTCCTTTTAATTTTTCTCTCTTCTCCTCCTTTTTCTCTCATAAAATAGGGTACATTAATCTCTTTAATTCAAACTATCAGTTTTAGTCCGTTTCAATACCTAATTTTTTATTTTTTAAATTATACTTAAAATTTAATTTTTATTTTATTTTAATATCCGCCGTTAAAAACTTTAGTTTTTGTTTTATTTTAATACCCGTTCAAAATTAACGTTAAATTTTGAAAAGATTGAAAGTTTAGGTACAAAACTGATAGTTTAGGTACTAAACATGTTAAGTTTTTAACAATGGGTACTAAAATGAAATGAAACTAAACTTTAGGTATGAATCTAAAAAAAACTAAAAGCATAGGTACTAAAACATATCAAAACTGATAGTTTAAGTACTAAATATGTAGTTTACCACATAAAATATGTGATCAAACTTGAATCAATTAAAAAATATTTTTTAATTTAAAAGTATTGAATCAACATAAATTTTGTATGGGTAAATTATCATTATTACTTTCGTTTAAGTTTTATAAACTCTCTCGTTGAATTAAATAATAATAATAATGTTTAATCACTATTGTTTTTATTTAATTAAGATTTATTCACTTTTATTTTTATTTAATTAAGATGTATCAATAACGTTAGAACTTTGATGGATTGATGAGTTATATAATGACTTTATAAACTTAAAAAGTGTATAATACACAAATGATCATTAATTTTGAGTAAGTTTTCATTTTCCCAATTGAAATTTTAAAAATAACAAATTGGTCACTAAAATATCAAATAGATCATTGAACAATGATTTTATATCTAATTTATTCCAAAAGCTTTATATATATACTCTTAAAAAATATATGTATATTGTATATGATCATTAAGTTATTTTAATTGAAATCAATCAATATAATAACATTATAAATAATTATATATAAATTTGAATAAAAATCAAAAAAAATATTATATTCTACTCGACACTAAATAAATAAATAAATAAAAATTTATCAATAAAATAATACTCGTAAACTCAATTAACTTATTTTTTTCTGAATTTGATAGAATAATTATCCCTTACATCTATATTGGTACGAGAACTTCCATGTGTAAAGCACACACCAAAAATCAATATATATATATATATATATCAATAAAATGCCAAAATTGTTTTTATCTCAACTATTAAAAGTTACAAAATAATCCTCCGACTATAGAGTGTTGTTTTGTTAAGTCCATCGACTCTTAAAAGTTACAAAATTGACACCAAACTATTCATTATGTTCCAAACTCATTTCTATTAAAAATTTGATGGTATTCTAAGTTGAACATAACCTACTGATAGTGAGATGATAAAATCTGATTCTAGAATCTCAAACGATTATCATATCTTAGTCTGTTGCGGAATACGGCTATCGGATAGAGTAAAATCGCAACTGATAATTTGAGAAAATAAAAATTAAGATAAAAGAGACACAAAATTTACGTGGAAAACCCCTAAGAATTTAGGGTAAAAACCACGGGCAATGGTAGAAGAATTTCACTATGAGAAAATAGGAATTACAACCTCTCTCGATCTACCAAGGAGAAAACAATGATAATTATCTCTTGATAAAAAGGAGAAAATAACTCTCAAGAAACTCTCTAAATTCTCTCTAGTATTGGAAGAAAGCTAGAATGCTTTGGGATGGTTTTGAAGCTAAATGGGATAGGGTATTTATAGCTAAATCTTAAGGACTTTGTAAATACCCTAAATTTTAGTTACTAGAGTTTGTAATTTGACCATATAAAAAATAATAAAAAATTATGCACCTAATTTTCGGTGCCAACCCATTTATTATTTTTGACTTTCTACAATCTCTCACTTGAAGATTTGATTGGAACAATCATATCTTCACACCATTCTTTCTACCTTGTACCATCATGTTGCTTACGTCTCTGACAGGCCACAAGAGGATCGACACCAGGTAAATTTATCAGCATTGATTGCATTCGTCATGAAATCTGCTATGTTGTCTTTGGTATGGATCTTCTGCATATCTATCGTCCCTTCTTCCACCTTTTCACGAATGAAATGGTACTGAACTCGTATGTGCTTTGTCCTTGAATGAAATGCTGGATTCCTTGCTAGATGCAAGGCGTTTTGACTGTCACAAAACAGAGAGACATACTCTTGATTATGCCCAAGCTCCTCCAATAGCATCTTCAACCAAATTGCTTCTTTACTGGCTTGTGTAGCTGCTACATATTTTGCCTCTGTTGTGGATGTAGCCACAACTGACTGCAATTTTGAAACCCAGCTTACAACTCCACCAGCAACTTTGAACACATATCCTGTTGTAGATTTTCTTTTATCCAAATCCCCTACATAGTCAAAATCTACATAACCATTGATTAGTAAGTTTGATCCTCCGTAACATAATGCAACATTTGAGGTCTCTTTGATGTATCTCAGGATTCTCTTTACTGTATTCCAATGCTCTTTGCCTGGATTCGCCATGTACCGACTGACCACTCCCACTGCTTGTGCAATGTCTGGTCTTGTGCATATCATAGCGAACATTAAGCTTCCCACTGCTGATGCATATGGTACTCGAGATATCTCCATCCTCTCTTCTTCACTGCTAGGACTCATACTGGAGGATAATTTGAAGTTAATAGGAAGAGGGGTAGAAATTGGCTTACAATCTTGCATGCTAAATCGTGACAAGATTTTCTTCAAGTAATTCTTTTGTGAAAGCCAAATCTTCCTATTACTTCTATCTCGGTGAATTTGCATCCCTAGAATCTTTTTTGCTGATCCCAAGTCCTTCATTTCAAATTCCCTAGCCAGTTGTGCCTTTAATTCTTCAATATGATCTTTGTTGGGTCCTGCAACCAATATGTCATCCACATACAACAGCAATATAACAAAATCGTTATCATCAGACCTCTTGAAATAAGCACAAGGGTCTGCATTAAGTCTGTTGTATCCAAGGCACATAATGAAGGAATCAAATCTCATATACCAACACCTCGGCACCTGCTTTAGACCGTACAGAGATTTGTTCAACCTGCAAACCAAGTTCTTCTTTTCGTCTTCTTCAAAACCTTCAGGCTGGAGCATATAAATCTCTTATTCAAGATTTCCATGAAGAAAAGTTGTTTTAACATCTAGCTGTTCCAAATGTAAATTAAATGTAGCACACATTGCCAAGACTACTCGAACTGTTGTTAGTCGAACCACAAGAGAAAAAAATTTCATTGAAATCAATACCTTCTTTCTGAGCATATCCTTTGACCACCAGTCTTGCACGATACCTCTCCACTTGATCGTCACCATTTCGCTTGATTTTGAAAACCATTTGTTACCAATTGGCTTCCTTCCTTGTGGTAGTGGCACAAGGTCCCATGTATTATTTTTATGAAGGGCTTCGATTTCTTCATGCATCGCCATCATCCACAGTGAAGCATCTGAGCTGTTTATTGCCTCTTGATATGTTGATGGCTCACCGTCTTCTGTTAAAAGACAGTATGCAACATTTCCTTCTATAACATAATCTGAGTGCCAATTGGGACGTCTTCTCACACGATCTGATTGACGAGTTGTTGGAGCTTCAGAACTCTCTGGTTCTTGTTCATCATGTTTGGTTCTGCTTCAGAAGAATCTCCTTGTTCAAACTCCTTTTCCACATGTATCTGTGTAGTCTTGACTTTTCAGCGTTACATCGTCTTTTCTTTGTAGTTTATCTTCTACAAGATAACATCCCTGCTAATGATCACTTTGCGGGCAGTGGAATCCCACAAGCGATACCCCTTTACTCCATCAGCATACCCAAGAATTTGCATTTCCTGGATTTTGGATCCAGCTTTGAAATTTCTTGGGCGTTGTACATCACGTACACAATACTTCCAAATACACGGAGGTTTGAATAATCAACTGGTTTACTAGTACACATCTCCATTGGTGTCTTCAGCTCTATTGCAGTTGATGGAGCTCGATTCACCAATAACAGGCGGTATTGACTGCTTATGCCCATAATGATTTTTCTAGGCCTGCGTCCCTCAACATTGCTCTTGTTCTTTCTAACAAGGTTCTGTTCATCCGCTCTACCACTCCATTTTGTTGAGGAGTGTTCGCCACTGTGAACTGTCTTTTGATGCCTTCTTTCTTGCAAAAGTCATCAAATTCTTCGCTTGTGTATTCTCCTCCATTATCTGTTCTGAAACACTTGATCTTATTTCCAGAATCAAGTTCCACCCGCGCTTTGAAGTTTTTGAAAGTTGAAAACACGTCTGACTTCTTTTTAATAGGGTGCACCCAACATCTCCTGGAGTAGTCATCAATAAATGAGACAAAGTATTTTGCTCCACCTAGGGATGTTACTGGTGCTTGCCATACGTCAGAGTGAACCAATTCTAGAACACTTTTTCCTCTAGAATTTGATGTGTTGAATTTCAACTGGTACTGCTTACTTGTTATGCAATGCTCACACAAAGTAAGTGATACCTTTGTTAAGCATGGAAGTAGCTTTTGCTCCACAAGGACTTTCATTCCTTGTTCTGACATGTGTCCAAGTTCTTATGCCATAGCATGTAGAATATGAAATACATGAGGCAACATAGGCTTCTGCTTCTAACAATGTCTCTCCCTTCAGCATGTACAAGTTTGCAGCTATCTTTTCACCTTTCAGCACCACAAGCGCTCCACGGAACACCTTTATGATTCCTTTCCATGTTCAATCTTGCTAGCATTATTATCCAACAATCAGTAGGATAATAAATTTTTCTTCAGACCTTTCACGTGCCGCACATCTCGAACAACTTTAATTGTTCCATCATACATCTTCAATTTGATGGTTCTCACACCAATGATCTCTAAGGCATGATCATTGCAACTATACACAGATCCTCCTGAGACAGGTTCGTAATGATGGAACCATTCTCTTCTTGAGGTCATGTGATATGTCGCTCCCGAATCAATGAGCCATATA